CGTACCAAGATAACGAGGATGAGTATGGTGCTAAGAATGCTATAGATCTGAAGTTTACGACCACAGCAAAAATGGCGCCTTCTAACAACGCGTTATGGATAAAGTTCACCCTTCAGCAGGTTCACTGTCTGAGTCAGCTAGTGTGGTATAAGCAAGATGGGCGCATTCATCGTAGCTGGATTTGCTCTCCGACAGAGTGTCACTGTCAGCATGAATCGTGTTCTCAGGGCTTTGCTACGACACTGACTGTCAGTACGGAGGGTACAGCTCATGATGATCTCCCTCAAGTCCCCGACTGCAGGTACGGGGACACAGTGAGCTTTCAAATAGGAGGCGATAGCTGGTCGGGTCGGGTAGCAGAGGTAGCCATTATTATCAACCCAGGTTTGTTTATAATTATAAAGCATTCTATCGACCTTATAGTTATAAGGACGATATTATAGTTCTTCGCCATCCACTTCTTTTACTATTGCTAAAGATACGAAAACAATTCTATGGTTTCATAGACGATCTGCAATTGTAATTGCATTCATATCTGTCACGAAAAAATGAATGCGTATATTTCAGATCTGCGGCATCCTTCTGGCACGGACCTCAAATGGGATGGAGTCTGGGGAACATGGGCGACGCATTACTCGACTTGTCCACACGGAGGGTTTGCCACCATGTTCGAACAGAAAATGCAGAAGTCTTTAGGTGATGAAGGTGATGACACTTCACTAAACGGAATTTGCCTCATTTGCAATACTGGTGATAAAGTTTGCAGTAACTCTGGGGAGTGGGGTGAATGGCAACCACACAGCAGGATTTGTTCTTCTGGATTCAATGCTGCAGATTTCAAGTTTGAAGCTTACTTGGGATCTGGTGACGATTCAGCTGGTAACGCTTTGAGGTTGTTCTGCAGTAGATGTGATACTGATTCTTATGACGCGAGTGGTGGGGAATCGGGTGACTATCAGGGCAAACTCTCTTGTCCAGCAGATCAAGTCATTTGTGGGATTAAAACTAGGATCGAGGGAAATCAAAATGGTGGGGATGATAACACGGCACTCAATGGTGTTTCGCTTCAGTGTTGTGAAAAACTAGCCTGGACAAATGATGTTTTAGGTACGATAATTATAAGATTCATATTTCTTCGGTCGGTACTCGGTAGTTTGGAGCATGCACTTTCTATTCTCAGAAGGTTCAACTTCAAACCCAGGCTTCTTTTCAGCTTAATTACTGGTTTTGAAATGTAAATGAAAATCTTTGTTAAACATGAAGACAATAATGTATATTATGTTCATTGTTCATTGATAATGTGCATTATTATCGAACATAATAATGTAAAATGTCCTTCAGGTCCGTGTGAATGTGGACAACGTTTTGATGAGAACAACGGTTGTGTGGAGTGCCCGGAGAACCAGTGGAGCTCGGATGGAAATACCGCTGAAACTTGCCTAGCATGTCCTTCAGGGAAAGGGGTGGCAGCTGGAGAAGGAAAAAAAGAAAGTGATTGTGCGTGGGGTAAGTTAAGCCTTTCTGTTGTCTGTTGTAGTCGCAACTCATTTTAATCAATTCTCGACTGGATTTTCAGACTCATTTCATTCTATTTTTTTTCTTTCGTTTCAGATTAGATAACCGAGGTATTGAATTTCATTTGATCGATTTTAAGCAATTTATATTAAGCTAACGTTTAATATACCTAAACAATATACCTTTACTGTTTAGCTACAATAGCCAACTAATATTCAAAATGATCATCTTGTTTTGCAGTAATGCGTGGTTAACTGTTTAGCTACAACAGCCAACTAATACTCAAAATGATCATCTTGTTTTGCAGTAATGCGTGGTTAACTGTTTAGCTACAACAGCCAACTAATATTCAAAATGATCATCTTGTTTTGCAGTAATGCGTGGTTAACTGTTTAGCTACAACAGCCAACTAATATTCAAAATGATCATCTTGTTTTGCAGTAATGCGTGGTTAACTGTTTAGCTACAACAGCCAACTAATATTCAAAATGATCATCTTGTTTTGCAGTAATGCGTGGTTAACTGTTTAGCTACAACAGCCAACTAATATTCAAAATGATCATCTTGTTTTGCAGTAATGCGTGGTTAACTGTTTAGCTACAACAGCCAACTAATACTCAAAATGATCATCTTGTTTTGCAGAGCCGTGTGTTGCGTGGTTAACTGTTTAGCTACAACAGCCAACTAATATTCAAAATGATCATCTTGTTTTGCAGTAATGCGTGGTTAACTGTTTAGCTACAATAGCCAACTAATACTCAAAATGATCATCTTGTTTTGCAGAGCCGTGTGTTGCGTGGTTAACTGTTTAGCTACAACAGCCAACTAATATTCAAAATGATCATCTTGTTTTGCAGTAATGCGTGGTTAACTGTTTAGCTACAACAGCCAACTAATACTCAAAATGATCATCTTGTTTTGCAGAGCCGTGTGTTGCGTGGTTAACTGTTTAGCTACAACAGCCAACTAATATTCAAAATGATCATCTTGTTTTGCAGAGCCGTGTGTTGGTGGACAATTCCTTCATGAGATGAATGGCTGTCAGGACTGTCCTGAAGATCAGTGGAGTGCTGCTGGTACAGCTGCTTTTTGTACAGCCTGTCCAGAAGGTAAAGTGGTAGCAGCGGGACAGGGACACCAAGAAAATGACTGCATATGGAGTAAGTTGGATTATTTTTAAATGCTACATAATTCATCGAGTGTGCTTTAGATTCGTAGAAGCAGCAGAATTTGATTATCAGAAGTTCTTCTAGGATCGAATTTTTAATAAATACGTAGTAGCGGTGAGTAGCATGGGGTATAAGCTGTTGAAATCCACTAATTTAAAGTATAGCGAGTAAGTATCTTTAAGTTGAACGTTACAACTAAACCAGAACTAACAACAATCTCCACAGAGCCCTGCAATGCTGGACAGTACCTTGATGAAGCATCAGGTTGTACAGACTGTCAAGATAACGAGTGGAGTTTGGGAGGTGACAGATGTACGCCATGTCCTGAGAACACGGGAGTGGTGACAGGACAAGGAACTAAAGAAGAGGACTGCAAATGTAAATATCGTCTTTCTTTCAAGGTTAAAAGTTGATAAATCATATCATAGAGGTTGTGAAAAGCAATGATTTATTGAATATATCACCTCTATAATTTATTATTTCAGCACTCTGTGAAAATTACGATGAAACACTGTCCATATCCACACCGGAACCACCGTTCCCATTGTTCGAAGGATCACTCGTCACCTTCAAATGTCTGAGAAAACACTTCCAAATTGGTGGAAACCTTATTGGGACTTGCCAAGAAAATCACATTGTTTTCCTAAATGGGAACCCAGTCTGCTCTAAGATCAGTAAGTTGTTTTGTGATTATAATGAGAACGTAGCAATAATGGCTGATCTTTTTTAACCCCGAGGGCAGGTGTTGAGATCAATCAGTTCATTATTGTTGAATCAAGATTTGCTGCAGGTTTGTTTTTTTTATCTCACTAACTTACTTGAATTACAGATTTATAAGTATAACATAGATATTAGATAAGCACATTAAATCGTACTAACCACTGCAGCTGGCCTAATTATTAAGTTATATAACAGTTAACTTTGTTGTCAATCAAATATTGGAATATTGATTGATAATATAGACGATAGCACAACAGCATAACATCGAAATTTTAAATTGATGGCCAGTGGCCACTTATAATGATGATTTCTTGTATATAATTATTTACATAAATACTTAGCAGTGATGCCGGATTCTCAATGTGCAGATAATAAGAAAAGCATAATATACAAATTACAATGTTATATGTATCAACCAAGACTTCAACTAGGACCCGACCAGAATTTTTGAGATCATGTTTTCTTTTTAACCCTCGTTCACTTACAAACAGACCCCTGTCTGAAAACCATCAGAAACCAGTCGCCGGCCCCCAGAAACCTTTTTTTGGGATATCTATAATGACGAAGTTGGTCAAAAATGTACCTAACGACTGACTGCTTGAACACCTCGGATGTAAAAGTGGTTTTAAGCCCTTATAGTACATTAGAAAACGGTAGAAGTCACCATCAGAGTTGCTGGGAGCTTCTCTCAGATTGAAAGTATTGACGATGCACAGGTGATTTCATGCTTGACCGTTTTAATCCCTCTTTTACCGTTTTTTTCTACCTCAACTCGATTAGCCGCTTTTCATCAATATATTGAATTGTTCGCTGAGTAAGCCTCATAAAGCTTTAATAACTGCAGCTGCCAGCTAGCTGCTTCTTTGGCTTTTTTTATTTGATCAGATTGGGTTTCAGACTATTACAAATTTTGAATAATATATGCTCAATAATAAAAGCTAGATGGCATAACAATACTATAGTCGAAGTAAATTGAGAGTGCACCTGATCCACAGGAAAGAAGATCCACAGGAACAGGGGCATCTTAAATGGACCATATAATAGAAAATATAAAATGGTAAGAGAGGAGGAGTTTTTTAAATTGAATTAGAAGCTGCTCTTTAGCCATCTCATTGTACCCATAAGCATTCTACTTATTGTGCACACGTGTGTAGTGCCGTGCTCCGTTGCTTGCACGTGCAGCAGCATTCACGTGCATTGCACCTGCTCTTACACAAGAGAACTTTAAAAGCAGATGGAGGAGACCAACAACATCTTATTTTTTATTTCTGTTACTAAGGGATTTTATACTTTTATATTAGGTGGCCGTCTGTAGCCGCATGCTATAATGTTGGTGCTTTAACTATAAAGGACGTATGTGATTTATTGTAATTTATTTATAAAGCTGAATAAGCGTGTACTAAAACATTTCATTGTCATAATATTAATATTGGTATCGATATAAATTTTCAAGTTTGAACTCTTTTACAGAATAGTTTTAGTTTATTAATATTTTCAGTGGTCTATTCTAACGAAAATTAACGTGAGCAGGTTATATATGATTTAAGTCATCTATATCCTCTTATTAAATAGCTGCAGTAACCTTTATATAGACCGCAAAATGGTGTCTCTCAGACTGCCTCACTGTTACTTGGCAATCCTCATTTTGTCATGGTAAGTGTTCTCCAGATAAATTTTAATTAAAAAAAATACAATGTTTGTTAATAAAAACTTTTAAACCACCTGCCATTCTAACAGCACATTCCTTATTTCACTGCGCATATCTATCATAATCTGCGTGCCCTTCGGGGATGAATATTTAACTTATTTCAATTATATATTACTTTTGAGTAAACATTGGCTGGTACTACGGATAGGACCAGTCCCCGATCAAATAAAAATCTATAAAACCACTGAGCTCTTTTATATAAGTGAACCTTGTCGAATATAAACATTTTGATTGATCCTTTATATTGAAAACTTTAAACTTGAATAGATTAACGTAAGAGTGAAGTGTGAATAAGTTTATTTTCAGGTATTCCCCACTATCCCAGTCCCTGGAAATTTGCTGCTGTCCTGATCTTACTCTTTCTTTAGCAGCTGTAGTATCCGACACAACGAAAAGTCTAGAAAATGGTTTTATGTATGTAGCTAAACAGGACTCCACCGTATCCTTAAAGTAAGTAAAATCTTATGGGCCGACGCAATATATGTTCAGATGATTAATCGTAATTTCAACACATTCTTTCATTAGCTGCGTGTTCTTTATTTTATAAATCTTTGCTTAACCTATAAAAGTATATGTCAACCATTTTTCTGTTAGGTGTGATCTTGGTGATAAAGAACATCCAGCAATCATGTCGGTGATATACAAGTTTCACAAAACTTATGATCTCAGTACAAGTAGACCAATTTCTCTCGACTACAAGAATAAGGAGGTACATTATAATTGGTGCAATATTGCTTTATTTTTTGGGCTAAAATGTAACCTTAATTGAAACTGAACTTCTACATGACGTGAATACGATTAGAAGCAATGTACAGGAAACTTGTATTATTTATAGAACTCCATATTATATAAGTACATAGGAACAAATCGGAGTAATATTAGGTGGAGACGAGGATCATCTCACTGCAATTACTGTACAGACTACAGACCTGATACTCGTTTATTTAATACCAAATTGTGGGCCCTTACCAGGGCGCAATGTGGAATTTTTGATCCTAAGATAAAATTACATTTTAGACAGATTAAATCCATATATGAATATCCCAATACCGATTACAGCTCTGTTCGGAAGATGATGGCTCTATTGCTACTTGCGACCTGACCAACGTGCAGTACTCGGAGAGCCCATCCAAGCAGAATACTTTGGACACAGCAGATAACCACATTTATCAGTGTTACGCTGAGATAACGATGATGGACGGTGCTGTTACCCAACTGTGGTCACATACTGTCAAGCTGGATGTTTATTGTGCGTTACTCTTTCTTCTAAATTGATTAACAAAACCACTGTCATGCATTAGCCTTATCAAGTAATGAATTCATACCTAATGATTAAATTATGTTTATAAATATATTATAGTTAAGGTTATGATCATAATATGTAGAATCATGTGAACCAAGACTTGCACAATAATTGGAATGTTATAAAGTCAGGATTTGTTCAGATCCACCAACTAAAGACGATATGCCCGTTGTACCAGACCCCAGATCTGTATCCATTGGAAAAGCAATGCAGAAGTTGTACTGTGATCTGCCAGACTCAAACCCCAAAACCAAGGCTCGCTGGTAAGCAATTCAATTTTTTTGTAAACCGGTTTTGGTTCTCGGTTCGACTAAGGACATTTAAGATGTAATACAATCACAAAGCTCAACCAACTGAAGTTTGACTTCGGCATAAGATTTTCTCATCACATTTCTACTTTCCGAGGGAGAGGCCAGGAACTCTTTTTGGCCAAGACCCAAGTGACACGTTTTTATATATACTTTTCTATAGAATAATGGTTTATTGTTTTTTTCAAATGCAATTTGCAGGTCGTTTAAAAAAAGAGACACATCAACTTGGGAAGTGATAGACATTCCAAATGACCAAGTTAGGGGCGATAGGCTTGTTATAGCTGAAGATGACATAAGTGCGATATCAAAAGATGACATAGATCGAGGAATGCTGCTAATCATGTCCTTTGACGAATATGAAGATCAGGGAGATTACAAATGCGAGGGAGTATACGATACTGAGTTTGATGATACGGATGTGGATTTCGAAATATCTGGTTTCGAAGTGACTTCAAACGGTATAAGTAGTACACGCTCATAGTATAGTTGTATTAGCCGTATATCAGTATATCAGTATATCCTTATTATTATACACATCGACCATAAGTACTTCCAACCATATTCAAAATATTATATATTTTACCTATATTAATATATATATAAATTATATATAGTTGGTATTATATATTAATATAACATATAGCCTATAGGTCGCATATTAACCTTGTGTTCTGTATATTGTATGAATATGATATCTCCCAATCAAACCTGTCAATATGCAATTCTCCTAGGCCAGCGGGATAACGGCCTCCTACTTTTAAGACTTGTATCAGAGATCACAGAACCGAAATTGGTAAACCAGGATTCGACTCATGTCAATTTTACGGTGTACGTCAGAGATACTCCCGGCAGGGGTAAATACGGAAATGTTAGTTACACCTGGCAAATCGAGGAAAACAACCAAGACGGTGAGTACCAATTTACAAGGCACTTCTAGTGAAATGCAAACAATTTAAGAATACTATTATAATATACTGTTGAGAGTAAAATACAAATAATTTGAAGCAAGTTACGACAGCTGTCATGTATCATGAAACATAATACATACATTGTTATATCCATATCCATATTAATTATAATTGTTATGAAACTATGGTTTTTCTCTTTTCAGTGGATCTTAACGTCGACGATTATCCCAATCTCCAGCTTTCCAACCATGGCCGAACTCTGACTGTTACCGATATCGTTGAGCATCGAGAACACAAGTTCCAATGCAAGGTTTTACTTCTCGATCTTTCCGTATTCAATATCTTGATGCATTTAAAAATAAAAGTAAAATAAATAATATATATTTGTTGTATTTATAATTTTAAATTTTTGCCTAGGTTTTAATTCGGTTTAAGTTTTTCAATCTAGCTGAAACAATTTAAAGCTCTACAAAAATGTTACTCGGAATGTTTCCCCAGCTTTGTTGCAGGATCATTTCATAATCCTGATTTAACCTATTAAATTTATTTATTTATTTATTTATTATTATTATTATTACTAATTAATTAATTAATTAGCCTGAACGTACTCTAGATCAGAAGAACGACTGACGGATCAACGCAAGATGTAACAAGCCGTCAATTTGGAGTAGGAGAGACTACACTCGTCATAGCACCTAGGGTACATAATAAAATGAAATTTTTTTTTTTTCAAGATGTAGGGACATTATGTAGCGGTAAAATGCTATTTAATTTATTATATAGCTAATCATTTATAAATTTCCACCCCTATGAGATTTCAACTCACTTTATTATCAAATCCTCCTAATTGTGACCAATATAAACTAAAACTGTCACTTGTAGACGCTATCTGTACCGTTGACATCGCGGAAGTGTGTGAACCATGGAGATGATTTAAAATCAGCACCCAACAAAGCCTACATGATGTCTACCACAGCGTTAGCAGGAGATAAGCCACAACAGGTGCGTTGTTATGGAAACAAACAAACAAACAAACAAACAAACAAACAAACAAACAAACAAACAAACAAACAAACAAACAAACAAACAAACAAACAAACAAACAAACAAACAAACAAACAAACAAACAAACAAACAAACTACATGATGTCTACCACAGCGTTAGCAGGAGATAAGTCACAACAGGTGCGTTGTTATGGAATGCAATTATTATGTAGACTTAGGACACATTATCATTTTGTGTGATAATGATAGCGCAGAAACTAAAATTGTTCCTCCGTGATACCTTTGGTAAGCTCACACTGAAGCCGTCAAACATCATGTTGATATATAAGATCATATTGTGTAATGAAAGAATTAAAGGTTGACCCAGGCCTGACTTACACAATTTCAGATTCTGTTGAAAGCAGACAACTGGAAATTCTACCTTAACGATTACAGAATCCAATTCATTTCTGACACTGATCAGAATTTTGACTATGAAGATAGGGCAGGTATAGATCAAAATCAATATGAAAGGAAACTTTCGCCGGCGAATCATAAAACAAGGTAATTTTTATATTACTTTTGGGGGCAGGTGAATACGAATAGGTTGCCAATCTCAATTAAGCTAGCAGTGGGTTATATTCAATTTTGAGTTAAGCCTGGATCCAGACAAAATATTTTAGCGTAGTCACTAAGGTATCATAATATTATAGTCTCATATCTATAATATAATCTATAAGTACAATACTTATTTTATGTATTATGTATAATATAAATTATGTATAATATAATCCAGGTGTGTTTACTGGCAATACATGAGGTCGTACGGACGGCAGTATCAGTTATTTGAAGTCATGAAAACGGAGAGATTCGAGAATGCTGGTAAGCCATCCTTGATTAAACTTTGTTAATGATATTTAGTTCTTAAAACAGCTTGGGAGTTTTCAGTCGTATCATGATATCTTGGCATGTTGTTTTTTACAATCATTTTAAAGTTAGGTCTATTCAGCTCGCTTATATTTTTTGTATTCTTTCTTACCGCGCACAACAAACAAACAAACAAACAAACAAACAAACAAACAAACAAACAAACAAACAAACAAACAAACAAACAAACAAACAAACAAACAAACAAACAAACAAACAAACAAACAAACAAACAAACAAACAAACAAACAAACAAACAAACAAACAAACAAACAAACAAACAAACAAACAAACAAACAAACAAACAAACAAACAAACAAACAAACAAACAAACAAACAAACAAACAAACAAACAAACAAACAAACAAACAAACAAACAAACAAACAAACAAACAAACAAACAAACAAACAAACAAACAAACAAACAAACAAACAAACAAACAAACAAACAAACAAACAAACAAACAAACAAACAAACAAACAAACAAACAAACAAACAAACAAACAAACAAACAAACAAACAAACAAACAAACAAACAAACAAACAAACAAACAAACAAACAAACAAACAAACAAACAAACAAACAAACATCTTAACGAACATCTTCGAATCAGGTTTAAAAAGCATCGATTTCCAGTCCACAGTTTGCACCAATACAAACATTGTAAGGGACGCTCATAAGGTAAGTTTGACATTCAAAGAAGGAACATCAACAGCTCAGTGTCTTAAAGCAGAACTGGTTGATTCTAATAATAAAACCTTGGTTACGAAAAGACTTCGTACGACCGCCGATTCGTGTAAGTGTTAATATTCCTTTTCTGTTTACTTTTCATTTTATTATTCAAGATGCATTTTTTCATTATTATAAATATTTATATGTTATATACTGTCTGTTTGACAGTAGATTTGGTTACTGTTCGCTATCTGGAAACAATCATTATTCCCTTTAGGTGCTATATGGACAACACAAACTTACGAATTTACGGATGTCCCTGAACAGAAAGGTCTGAAAATAAAGATTTCCTCAGAGTCCTGCGGAGGTAACTCGTTTGCAAGTGGTAGCTGCATCATAGATGTTGATCCCGATCTCAGTAAGTAGCTTTCCAATTGCATGATCATGAATTGGTCTCACCATTGATTTTATAGTCCCTAAACTTATAGTTATATCTGTTTACACTTTGTTAAAATATCTTTGGGGAGGTTGGTTTTGCATTTGGACTCTCGCCGTTATTTTGAGTTGGGATAGGGACAGTGGTATAAGCTATAGAAGTTGGGCTCTTGTTGCATAAGTTTAACAGCAGTTTAGCGCATACATACTACTATAGTGCCAAATAAATGCCACAAATGTCTCACCTTAATTCGGCAGTGCCAAATATCATGATAGTTTCTTAACGGGTAATACTCGTAAAATATCTGTTCCATCGACGAGTCCAACTCGGCGCGCGTCCTGGTAGGTTGTAAATCCTACAAGATAGTTTCGCAAGTGACACACAACAATGCTGTAAGTGTTTTACTTAAGTGCCGAAAATGCCGCAAGTACGTAATAAAGTCGGCTCATCCAAATTCCAAAACTACTCAGTACTCATTGACTTGTGACTAGACTTTGGAATTTGAAGACCCTAAATCATATAATTGTATTGTCTCACGCGTCCTGCGAGGCAATAATTTTAACACATAATAATTGTAATACATTAAATAGCAATACCGTAACAAAACTATTACTATTAGGCTGTTATACAGACTACCAGCAGATTGTTGGTATGCTTCCAGACTCCCAGAAATTAGCACAGAGACAGTTCAGGAGTGATGAGAGTTGTCAGGAATGGTGTGATGCCAATCCCCGCTGTGAAGGAGTAGCCGTGAGTCCCGAGTATTGGACTTACCGAGAATGCTTTCTGGTCATGGGCACTACGCACATAACAGCAAAACGGGGCTGGGCAGCGGCGACTAAAACTAAATGTTAAGGTTAAACTTCCACTTAATTTTTACTTAGACTTTTATTCTTACGTTTGTCGATCCCTGATCCTAACAGATAATGGACTGTATAAATGAGATAATATAACTTTAAGCTAACAAGATAACTATGAACTAAGAATTTCTATTTCAGGTGATAACCGGAATTGAAAATGATGTAGGTGCATGTTCATCGTAGTCGATCATTGTTCAGTCGTACAACCGTCAAAAAATATGGGGAAAATGAAGAAAACTGTTCAAATTTTATATTTATGATTTTAAAACTTACTTTTAAGTTTTTAAATTGCATGACAAAAATTGGCATCTGATTTAACACTTTTGTGGCGGCATTGTAGTGACATTATTGTAGTGACATTATTGCATATTGGCTTATGTCTTTTTGCTATCTTAAGTTATGTCTTATAGTTATTGCTTATCGTATTTTTCTTATAGCTAAAATATTTACTCACTCATCATTTATCGTTTTTAATTCTGTGAGTCTACTGTTAATTATTGGAAAGATAAAATGCTGACATTATGCAACAGACAGTTAGTTAGTTTGCTAATTATAGGATAATATGAAATAGAAAACTTGGCAAGGATCAACAATTAATTACAAATAAGTAATGTGGGTTATTGAATCCTCGAGTCTGGTAATTGTCCCGAAATACTAGGTATCAACTCGAAAGCAACCCAAAAAGATTTTACAGCAATTCATGGATATAATCAGATACTCCGTAAGCATGACACATTCCTGCGGCGAACTTTAATACAGCACCACAGACACCCCCATGCAATCTCATGCATTGGTTTGAGGGATACTGGGAGGTAGTAGTAATACGGTGAACTAACAAATACTGATACTCCGTCATCGTTTAACCGTTTGTATGGCATCATTTCGCGGGTAATGCCCCCAGGCCCCCTATTGAAGACGGTTAGCATACCTTTCCGGCGTGTTTTCCCGTGCCCAAATGTGTTCTTCCTCTGTTTCCCAGGATCCTACTACGTACCTGAGATGCCATGCTGTATACTCAAAGAATGGCCAGAACAGCACATCTTCTTCAATCTTGAGTCTTCACTCCATCTCATGGTAGCGTAGTTGGTTAATCATCGGATTTGTAATCGTGAGATTGCGAGTTCGAAACCCACTGCCTGCCTAGTCGTGGGGTGAGTGTCGTCGACATTCAGCTAAAGATCCTGAGTGGTCTATGCAGCCCCCCGGTCTACTCAGCCGAATATTCGAGAAATCGTGTGTGAGGGTTAAATGAGAAGCTGTCCATTGCAGCGAAGTCTCGGGCGAAGAAAGTATGGTACACACTACCTTAACCGTCACTGGCCTAATTAAATCCTTCGGCTTCCTGTAATTGGCTAGTTACACTTGTGTAACAATGTGGCTGTTGGAATACTCCGAAGTAAAATAAGTGTGAGATAAAAAATGTAGGTCTGGTACCTTGCCTCCCAGTCGATCATGTTTCTTCCGACAGCGCTGGCGCGTATTTTGTGTGCAAATTTCTTAAAAACCTCCAAATATAAACTATTTCTTATTCCTGTCATCTTTAACATTTAATTTTAATGTTTTGAGCTTAAAATATGTCTGCTAAACGACTTCTGATGAGTCTTAATACCTGCAAAAACAGTAAAGAGGTATACTAGTGAAGGGGGGTATAATAGTATGGATGGTATACTGGCGACGGTCGTGCTTGCCAGCACTGTGATACAAGTAAAAATGAAATGGTTCTTTAGTTTTAAACGATTTCAAATGACATTTTCATTTCCATTATGGTAAATAAGTTTGACCAGTCACCATTCAGTTTCTGATCCAATAATGTAATCGGTGATTGTTACCCGCAATCAATCTAACACTTAAAGATTATAATAAACGAGTTATAAAAACCAAATAAATAAAAACCCCTTAAAGCAGATATTAGATCTAAAACGGCTTTGGTTTATTGTTTTAGTTTTAGGTGTTTAGATCCTAATAGCAAATGAAGATTCAGAACAGTTACTCTATCTTTGGTGTCTTCTAATCAGTCTTATACTCTTATAGTTCAACTGTTAATCTTTGAAGTGGTCTTCTTTGACCTGATATTGAATGTAGTGGAAAACAAAATATTACTTCAGAAGAGTCTCCTGACCTCTGTAAAGCTATAAGACCACTGAGATTAAAAACAATCTTTAACCATCGTCCCATACTGCAATTGTTCTGTGAACAATGATAACGGTAAAAAAACAGTTTCAATCATTATACTCATAAAGCACTGTCCTTTTTTCGTATTTACACTTGCTCAATATGAATCCACATGACCAACACATGACCAACACATGACCCACATGTGACCAACACATGACCCACATGTGACCAACATGTGACCAACATGAGACCCACATGTGACCCACATGTGACCAACATGAGACCAACATGAGACCCACATGTGACCAACATGAGACCCACATGTGACCAACACATGACCAACACATGACCCACATGTGACCAACACATGACCAACATGTGACCAACATGAGACCAACATGTGACCAACATGTGACCAACATGTGACCAACATGAGACCAACATGAGACCAACATGTGACCAACATGAGACCAACATGAGACCAACATGTGACCAACATGAGACCCACTGCTTCTATCCGGGTTTATGGGATCTGGTCTTGAGCAGTGCGGTGATTCCCACTACCATGAGAAGTACAGCGGAGGTAACGATGAGGAAGCCGCTGAAACCAGGCTCCACGTTTACTGGCTGGATCTGGGTGAACTTTAAGCCTGGGGTAATAAAGGGTAATAAAGGGTAATAAAGGGTAATAAAGGGTAATACATGGTAATAAAGGGTAATTAAGGGATTATATTAGCGGGTTTAGTTACGGTATTGGAAGTTTAAAGAAAAGATAGTATAAAGTAAGATTCTCGAGTGTAATAATCGTGAAAAATACAATTGCTAAATTCCGTATTCATCGATAACACAATGGTTGGAAACGATTGGTTGAACATAACACCAGTGTATAATAGTGTATAGTGTATAGTGTATAGTGTATATATACACTATAGTGTATAGTGTATAGTGTATAGTGTATAGTGTATAGTGTATAGTGTATAGTGTATAGTGTATAGTGTATAGTGTATAGTGTATAGTGTATAGTGTATAGTGTATAGTGTATAGTATATACGGTTAGTGTTCATTGCTTGTCCGATAGTCCTGACAAAGACTCAAGTTTAACTGCGACAATATTACAGTTCGCAAACATGCCGCTGCTTTAACGCTTACCTCCAAGCTTCTCTATGAGGTCTATGTTGATACCCATATTCTCTACAGAGGTCCTTACTGATTTCATAATCTGAGGGAGCTTTGTGTTAGTTTATAGAATATGCGTGGATAAAATATGTTATATCATAACAAAACTTATAATCCGAAGTCATGAACAAGAAAATGTTGTATCATGTGAGCTTGTGAGGATACGATGCTTACGAGTTGACGAGCATATTTTACAATTAATAACTTTTGGCTACGTACACAAAAATTGATGTCGATTTGAACTTGCCTCTAAGTTAAGATAATCTTTAGTCATTGGCCGAAGAGTCATCGATACCAAAAGTGATGACACCAGAAATGTGACTGAAAATAAAGAATTTCATGAATTTTAATTCATCTATAACTAATAAGACTTGACTATTTAATATGACTATTAACTCCGTAATTACCCAGAACAGTCGGTACTGATCACAATTTTCACCAACCTGATACAGAAGCACTGATACCAGTAATAACTTTACTAAGATGCCGTCCAGCAACCAGGACTAAGATAACAAACATCCACGTGATCAGGACGGAGCTTAGTCCCATGAACATTAGGATCTTGCCGGTGCGGGTCGTGTCTTTCATGTGCTGTGGTTGATTCTCTGTCTCGATAACTGCAGGAAGAGTTTATAAGTGATTTTATGCTTTGTAATTGTATAACTTCGGAGTTGGAACTGGAAAAAAACAAACCCGCAGTGCTTATAAATACTTTGGATCAGTTAAAGATGATACATGCGATTATAAATGTTTGAAGCGAACTTTTATTTCATTTTTGGATAAAGGTGACCTTATGACCTAGGACAGTAAATCCATAACCCTAGAGCTCTAGAAGACACCAAGGCAATGTGTGTACAGACCTTTATGACACCTTTTAGAGAAGTCCAGTTTCATCCCTCCCTCATTTTCAGGCATCTCTCCATCACCAAATTCCATTGCTTTTGTAATTATTTCCATAAAATCTTCAGAAAAACAGAATCTGTGGGAGGAATTTCAAAATCTGCTGTGGTTTTTGCTCAAAGTTTTAAAACAGTATTTCAACTTGTGTTCCGTCAATAATCATTTGATGTGCATAACCTCAGAAAGTTTGTGTGACTAGTGGGCCCTAAAAGAGTGTGATTCTGCAATCTAATATAAAATACTGATCATACTGATCATATTATGAATTTAATTTCAGCTCATCCAGTTAAAAATTTAAAACATGCAAAAGCTAAAAAATAACCTGAAAAGACCAAAGTCGGCCATTTTGAGTACATCAGGAACATCTCTGTCCAAAGACAAGAAAGATTTGATGGTGGCCTTGTAGGGACCGACATCTATATCTCCAGACATGTAGTTGGGCGAGAGCAGCCCGACCAGTCCTATCACAAAGCCTGGGACATTTTATAGAACGTTAAACACAAGGATATATTTTATAAACTTAGCATTGACACAGTCCAAAAACCGTTCATAATCACTGATAAAAAACCGAGATATTGATATGATAAAATACCTGAGAGACTGATAATAAAGAGAGCCAGCCAGAGGTTTGTATCAGGAGGCGGGGGAGCCAATAGAGTTGTGTCTATTGTTTCCTGTCTAGATAACCTGTTATAAATTATCTGATATCAAACAAACCCAAACAAACCCAAACAAACCCAAACAAACCCAAACAAACCCAAACAAACCCAAACAAACACTAACAAACACTATAACACATAAAAAGTATAAACAAACCCAAAAACTCGGCAGTCAATTTAAGTGATATTAATTTCGAAGCTGATGTAAAATTGCATTATATTTAATAATTTTGATGATAATTCAGTTAATCAAGAACTAATTTTACAACTTAAAAGCAACTCTTACTGCATTTGAATCTTCCTGTCCATTGGTATTTCCTCATACTTATTTACTGGAGGCTTCTTCATGCCCATCCTTAAATTGTATTAAATGTGAAACATGCACCTAGACAAGTTACAGAGAGTATAGGGACTCCTTCACAAATAAGTACTGAAATGTAGTCATGGTTACAATCACTGGTTCTTGAGTACAAGTTATTAGATAGATAAGATAAGGTTTATAATTATAAACTTTCTAATCTTAACTATTTGGAAATATAACTTTGAGTATCACAATCGTGTCTTGTGCTATCCTCAGTGACCTTGCTATATGACCTTATATAATGGTCATTCGTTAAAAATTCGGTCAAATTTGGGTGATCGCGTAAAGCTGAAATTTGAAAATGTCCTACCGAATACCGCCACGGTTCAAAATGTTCATAGCATCAAAGTCTTCACAGACAATTATAGTGTGGCGATATAGGGTCAATACTAATAGAGTAATAGTGAGATTCCGCGCCAGCACCGCACTTGTATGTTGCCATTGTGAACTATATGCAACAACAAATCGTGAACAATCGGAGTGTTTACAACAGACGAAAAATAAAAGAGGAACGATCTGCAGATGAAAACAATAAGATCTGATATGTTAAATAGGAAGTAGAATCTACGATAAAAAGGTATGTTAAAGTGTACTTTATAAATTAAAGCTATTAAATCATTACAGGGTCATGATATCAAGTAACAATATTGGAAATCAGAATCAGGTGACAATCAGTATAGTTCACATAAAACATCATAGAATGCAAGCCTCGACTCTAATGTGTTAAAGTATAAGAGCCTCAAGGGAATTTGTTAACTGGTTGTATAAATCCATTAATACCAGATCCTAATAAGGTGTAACCTATTATATAATTCTTAAATGCTATAAACTTTGAAATATCTAACTTAGTCCTTACTTCTTTAGCACATATGATTTTTGGGAATCGGTCACGAGGACGGAGGTCGCGAGGGCGAAAGACGCAAGGGCGAAGGACTCAAGGGCGGAAGTTTCCTAAAAGATTGGACTCGAGGGCGAAAGACGCAAGGGCGAAAGTCGATCACTTTATCATGGAAATACACACCGTCCTAAATGTTGGACTGATAATAATATCGATATATAATGTGATCGACTTTCGCCCTTGCGTCTTTCGCCCTCGATCTCCAACCTTGGGGGGGGGGGGGGGGTCCAACCCGATGTTTCCGATCGATTCCGATCCCGATTTTGGCCTCATCAACCCTCATATCGGAAAAATCGGGAAAATTTAAATCTTTCCTCTGAGGTTTCTAGGCGATATAGGTAGCTACTTCTGTACTTAAATATGACAAGAAATCGATTGGTGGTGGTCCCAGAACCCCAAAATGGTTTCTAGTTCCAAACAGGAATCGTTTCGTCCGAAAAACGACACACTGTCGTATCAACTCTTGTTTGACAGAAACATCCACCCCGGTCCACATTTGAAAGAGGTACGGTTGGTAATAACAATCGTAACAAATAGGGAACGCTTTAGTAACTTTTGATTTAAATTGTCTCCACAATTTGTAACAGGCTATCTGCAGAAATTGGTAGCACGGTTAATGACCATTGACCATGGTCCTTTCTCAAACTTCCAACCCTCAGTTAGATACAAAGAATAGTCTACACAATTTTAAATAACATTAAAAGAGATGAAAATCACTTTATTCATCAAAATCTTTATTTATCATGTAACAACTTTTCCATAGTACTGGAGAGTAAAATTCTGTTAAACAAAAAAATTCTCGAGCACATTTTGAGTCAGTAACAGTAACATGTCAATATGTTACAGACTCAAATGCGTTTAAAAACATTTTAGTAAGTACAATAAATTGTGTAAACTGATGAGGAGGAGGAGGAGTACTGAAGAGTAGGACTGAGGAGAAGGAGGAGGACTAAGGAGAAGGATGAGGAGGATGAGACTCATGAGGAGGAGGAGGAGGACTGAGGAGGAAGACTAAGGAGGACGAGGACTAAGGACGAGGACTAGGAGGATGAGGAAAAGGGTTAAGGAAGAGGAGGAGGACGACTGAGGAGGAGGACTGATTAGGAGAAGAAGGAAGAGGAGGATGAGGAGGAGGACTGAGGAGGATAAGGAGGATAAGGAGGAGAATGAAGAGGAGCATGAGGAGGACTGAGGAGGAGGAGGATAAGGAGGAGAATGTGGAGGAGGAGGAGGATGACTCAGGAGGAGGACTCAGGAGGTGGAGGAGGATAAGGAGGAGGACTCAGGAGGAGGAGGAGGACTGATGAGGAGGAGGAGGAGGACTCAGGAGGAGGAGGAGGAGGAGGACGGGGAGGAGGAGGAGGAGGACTAAGAGGACGCGAGGACTAAGGACGAGGAGGACTGAGGAGGAGGACGAGAGCGAGGACGAGGAGGAGGACTGAGGAAGAGGACTGATAAGAAGGAGAAGGAGGAGGAGGAGGACTGAGGAGGAGGACTGAGGATGAGGATAAGGAGAAGGAGGACCGGGGGAGGACTGATGAGGAGGAGGAGGAGCAGGACTGAGGAGGAAGACTGAGGAGGATAAGGACGAGGACTAAGGTTTTTTTTTTACAAATGTCTCAGACCCATAGCTAGATCTGTGAATTTTAGGCAGACCCACTCGACAGCGGCCAAATTTTGCGCATTATGAGCCCCAAGCCCGATACCCACTTTGCCTCCCAATTATATTATCATCTCGTAACTTCATAATGAAGGTTCCGTTATTCATTTAAAGATTAAGTTTTTTCGATTCTGGGCACGTAGCCCGACACGACACGTAGCCGGGGCGAAGCTCCTTTGGTTGGCTAGGGAGGGGGGAAGGCGCAGCCCCCAGAAAATTTTTCAGAAATTATGTGTTTTAGACGACATTTGGCATTAAAGAAATTTGTAGGACAGTAATAATCAGACATTACAATAATACAAAATTGGGGGGCTAGGGGGGCGCAGCCCTGGCCTTCGGAAAATTTTTGAGAAATAGGGTGATTCAGACGACATTTGGCATTAAAGAAATTTGTAGGACAGCAATAATCATACATCAGAATAATATAAAGTTGGTGGCAGGTGGGCTAGGGGAGCGAACCCCCAGGAAAATTTTTGAGAATTAGGGTGATTAAAACGGCATTTGGCATTAAAGAAATTTGGGGACAGTAATAATCAAACATCACAATAATATAAAGTTGGGGGGCCGGGGGCCGGGGGGCGCAGCCCCCCATAAAATTTTTGAGAAATAATGTGTTTTAGACGACATTTGGCATTAAAGAAATTTGTAGGACAGTAATAATCAGACATCACAATAATACAAAGTTGGGAGGCTAGGGGGGGGCGCACCCCCCGGAAAATTTTTGAGAAATAGGGTGATTCAGACGACATTAGGCATTAAAGAAATTTGTAGGACAGTAATAATCAGACATCACAATAATACAAAGTTGGGAGGCTAGGGGGGCGCACCCCCGGAAAGTTTTTGAGAAATAGGGTGATTCAGACGACATTAGGCATTAAAGAAATTAGTAGGGCAGTAATAATCAGACATCACAATAATATAAAGTTGGTTGGCTAGGGAGGGGGGGCGCAGCCAATCAGAAATTTTTTGAGAAATTATGTGTTTTAGACGACATTTGGCATTAAAGAAATTTGTAGGACAGTAATTATAATCAGACATCACAATAATACAAAGTTGGAGGGCTAGGCAGGCGCAGCCCTGGCCTTCGGAAAATTTTTGAGAAATAGGGTGTTCCAGACGACATTTGTGGGACAGCAATAATCAGACATTACAATAATACAAGGTTGGTGGGCTGGGGGGGGGCGCAGTAATAATCAGACATCACAATAATATAAAGTTGGGGTGCTGGGGGGGGGGGCGCAGCCCCCAAGAAAATTTTTAGAAATTATTTGTTTTAGACGACATTAGGCATTAAAGAAATTTGTAGGACGGCGATAATACAAAGTTGGGGGTGCAGCCCCCGGAAAATTTTTGAGAAATAGGGTGTTTCAGACGACATTTGGCATTAGAAATTTGTAATTTCAGACATCACAATAATACAAAGTTGGGGGCTAGGGGGGAACTCAGTACTTGTCACATTGAATGGAATAAGTACATATTGTATAGTGGGATTTGGGAATAATTTACGAAATGCTAAAGTCGATTGCCTGTCGTGTCGTTTAATCAAACAGTCATAACCACAGCCCACTTACCAGGCGACCATGGGGACTAGGGGGCTTATTTGGGGTTCAATTTTATTCCGGGGGTCTTCCCCTTGGCTACGTGTCTGCATTCTAGTTGCCAGACCCACTCTATTAGAGTGCAGACTCAACATTTTGGTTGCCAGACCCACTATTCTAGAGTCCAGACCCACAATTCTGGTTGTCATATCTCCTATATTCTAGTTCATAGACCCCCAATTCTGGTTGACAGAGTGAAGAATTACCATTCTGGTTGCCAGATTCACTCTTCTAGAGAGGAGACCCACTCTTCTAGTAGGTATAGAGTCAAGACCCACTATTCTAAAATGCAGACCCACCATTCTGGTTGCCAGCCCCACTCTTCTAGAGTGTAGACGCACTATTCCGATTGCCAGACCCACTATTCTTGAGTGAAGACCCACCTTTCGGGTTGCCGGACCCACTATTCTAGACTCTAGACTCCAGACGCACAATTCTGGTTGCCATATATCCTATATTCTAGTTTAGACCCCCAATTCTGGTTGACACTTGACAGAGTGTAGACTTACCATTCTTGTTGCCAGACCCACTCTTAGCTAGAGTGAAGACCCACTATTCAAGAATTCTGACCCACCATTCTTGTTTCCAGACCCACTACCCTAAGGTGCAGACCCACCATTCTGATTGCCAGACTCACTCATCTTCATTCCCTTGATTGCAGACCCACTATTCTGGTTGCCAGACCCACTCTTATAGATTGCAGACACACCATTCTAGTTGCCAGACCCACTCTTCTAAAGTGTAGACCCACCAGACCTATTATTCTAGAGTGAAGACCCACCATTCGGGTTGTCCAAACCCACAATTCTGGTAGCCATATCTCCTATATTCTAGTTTATAGACCCCCAAATCTGGTTGACAGAG